CAGGTAAAGCATTTCACTGTAATTTTCTACCTTCTCTACCATTTTTAATTTTCAAATTTTTATTTGTCCTGTGAGTCCATGAAATCCATAAAATTAAAGAACACAAGTAAAAATGTAAAAAATTTAAAAACTGAAAAAAATTAAGTTTATATCTTAAATTAAAAAACCAAAATGAAAACTGTAAATCAAATATTTTCATCTATATACTAAATAATAATGAATATAGTTTCTTTTCTAAACATCTTTACGAACTTTCAAATTTTTGAGCCTCTTCCTTTTATCTATTATTTTCTTTATAATAATCTACATACATGAAAAAACAGTAAGAGGAAAAAATACTTAGGGTAAAAATCTACGATTTTTATTGGAACCAGCAGATATAATGGTTACACCACAGGACTCCCACATTGTCGACCAAAATTTGAGTCCTGGACCCAGTGGCTTAAAACTCAGGCTGGGTGCATGTGCATCCATGCCCAATGTCCCGAGAAGAGAATGCAGGAGAAAAGACTGCAGCGTGGCCATCCCCCCTGGGGGGGTGATTTTTCACTTTCTGTCTCTCTCTGGTGAGTACATGCACCCTATAGCAAAAATCTCTATAAAAAAAAGAAATCAAAGTATAAAAACTATGAAATCAAACACTGGGATATGAAAAATATGTCAACAATATGGAATTAATTTCTTGCTGGACAAAATATGGCAAAACCAAATTGTTACACTAAATTTTACAAACTAACTGATTCAAATACTAGATGAATTTGAGTCTCTGATCATTACACCTCACCGAATCAAATTTTATAAATTATGATAAGTGCTGGCCTTAGAAAAAGGCTCATTTGTTGCCTAAGAAATTATTAAAGCAGGACAAGTTAAAAGTCTTTTTTCAAGAGCCTCAAGAGAGACAGAACCAGTTACCAGAACTGATTTCTTTTAAATTATGTGCTTTTCATTCCCTGGTACAATAAAGCAGCCCAAAAGAGGCAGGGCACAGAGTCTAAGAAAAGAGGAAGGAAAGACACAGAAAAGATGTCTGTTTGGAAATAGAGTCAGTTAATAAGTCAGTCAACATCCATTGAGTTTCTACAACCATATTGGTAGAATAACTCTCCCAAATTCAAAGGAATGCTGTCATTCACCATAACTTTCTGAAATATAGACAAGACTAATGAGGACTTACTCTAAATGTTTACAGTTAGTAAGATTCTCTTGCATTCGGTGGCCTTAGTTTTAAGGAGTTTTAACTCAATAATGAAGCAAAAGTACTAGAGATAAACATTATAAGCTTTCTGTAGCCTTTTTCCTTCAATTTACATTGCTTTAATTAACCCTTCATCCTTTCATCCTGTGGTCTTTAGAGACAGGAAAGGCAAAGGATTTCAATCTCTTTAGGATTTTAAAACCCACAAAGTATTCCTTTGTCTTGCTACTTATTACTCACAAAAGGTCTCTTTCTCACCCATGAATGGTCTCTGACTAAATTCAACATGTATACTTTATTCTTGTTCTTATACTATCAACTTCTTGATAAACTAAGCCCAATCCAAAAATTGGAAAAGTGATTATCAAATGTTTTCACTAAAATCACAAAATGTGATTAACCAGCCAGAGAGCAAATCTGATAAACAGTAACTCCTTCTTATACATAAGAACTACAGTCATCATCTATTGCTTGACAGCACATAAAGCATAGCTACTGTAACGATGATAGTGACCTCGAAGAGCAAATTTCAACAATGGAATTCTATCGCTCTTGTTACATCACAGAAAATACATACCAACAGAACTAGTCATAAAAGGACTCCATCTATTTTGTATTCCTTGTCTTTTAAATTATAAAGTAAATGCTTACCTTTCTTATGTTCTTTCCAGAAACCTTCTAAAAAATAATTTAAACTGTTCTTACCCATCAAAATTTTAAAATTCTGTATATTATACCTTTTGTTTCTGAATTGGTGATAATTTCAATGACTTGTCATTGGAATTCGGGCTCATCATATGTGTCTGAAATAAATTTTAAAAAAGTGTTCTAAAAAAGACTATATATATAAAATATATTTTCATATCCTAAAAATCATTACCATATTTAAGATATCAGAAGTTTCTCCAAGGTTTCCTGAATCCACTGCTACAGAATTTTCTGTTTCTTTCTCTTTAGTCATTTTATCTTGACAATAATCTGAATTATTAAAAGGGAAAAAGAAAATCCAGATTTCAACAAAGATGAAAGGCTTTTGGATAGAAAACAGCAATTATTCTATATAAATTACAAGTATAATTTTAATAAAGATTCTTTAACCTCATATCAAGGGAACTGAACAAATTTACTCATAGTGCTAGCAGGTTTTAAAATCTCTTTCTGAAAATGTGAAACATTTTACACTGATTAAATAACAACTGCTTCACTCCTGTGGACGTGTAAATATTATTCCTTTGGGACAGTACTACCCAGGAATTGAGCACTGTTAATACTAGTCTCAAGAAAGGCCCCAATGTCACAAATCCTCCTGGTATTCATACTCAGGTTAGTCTGCATGTGTGTGGCCAATAAAATAAGGCAGATAGGATTATCCAGTCAATTCTATATCTAAAAGGTTCTTCAAAGCTGCCCCCTCCTTTCCTCTATCTCCACTGCAAATACCTCAGTCAATACAACAGCACCTCTTGTAAAAGGTTCTACAAGCACTATGGATACCATTTAGTCTGGCTTCCCTACAATCCACACAGGGCAGAAGTGATCATCTTAAAATGTAAATTGGATTGGAACACACCAATCCACTTTTAAAACTAATGGCTTTCAATTGCATTTAAGAAAAACATTCAAATCAAATAGGTCTCACAAAGCCTATAAAACCATGAACAACTCCTCATTGCCTCTTCCTCTAGCAGCATCTTGTCCTGCCTTTTTCTTTACTTTCTAGTCCCAATGGTCATGTCTCCTTGTAAACAGCCTCTAAACCTTTGCCTGTGTTATTTGATTTTCCTTGAATATACGCATTCTCTCTCCTTGTGTGGCTAATTCTTTATCCTTTATGTGTTAGCTTAAATGGCACCTTTTCAGAAAGACTTTTCCTGACTCCCTTTCTTCCATTACAGAAGTTGAAATCTATGAAAGATTTAGAAAAAGTCACATTACATGCCAGATAAAACTTTTGGAATACTTCATTCTTTTTTATTTTATAATTTCTTATTTACATTTTGATGTTGTACATCTTTATGGCACACAATATGGCTTTTCAAAATATGCATGTGTTGGGACAAGCAATTAGCGTAATGGCTATGTCACTGAACTCCCATGTAGTTGACCGCGGTTTGAGTCCTGGACCCGGTGGCTTAAACTCATGCCGGGTGCGTGTGTATGCATGCCCAAGATCCCAAGAGGAGAATGGAGAAGAAGGGATGGTGGCATGGCCCCCCCCCCCCGGGGGGGGTGATTTCCTGCTTTCTGTCTCTCTGTCTCTCTCTGTCTTTCTGGCGAATGCATGTGCCCTATAGCAAAAACCTCTCAAAAAAAAAATGCATGTGGTATGTGATAATAAAATAAAAGATATTACCATATACATCATTTTCAAATAAGAAACTTACATTCTTGGGTCTGCTAAATGCTTTTTCTCTGAGTCCTTCACAATATCCACCCCCCAAATCAACCATACAGTCTCTGGTATCTATACACTCCCTCTCTGCTTTTACGTCTTTGAATCCTTCAATTTAGGCCACAGAATGCAGAAGTTCGGTATGTACAGTGTTCGTCTTTAATAGTTTGGCTTATTTCACTTAGCAATAATTACATCTTATTTTTAGTAAATAGTCACAAAAAGAAAAGGACGGCTTTTCCTTTTGATCTAGCTGCAAAACTATAACTATTTGAATTCACATTCAAATCTCTTACAGTGGGGAACAATTTTCCCCAAACTAAAAACTTCTCTCTCCCTCATACACACTGTTTTTTTTTTTTTCATATCCAGGGTTGAAAAGCATCATGAGACATTGATTCTTCTTATTATTTATCTTATTTATTATTGTTTTTGTAATTTGATCAGAGAAAGACAGAGAGAGAAAGGGAAAGTGAGGAAAGCAAGCCACCAAGTCCAGGATCTGAACCGTGGTCGACAATGTGGGAGTCCAGTGCCCTAATCACCATGCCACCTTTGGCCCAAGACATTAATTCTTATTTCAAAAGGAACACAAACACTGAGACCCAATGTAGGAAATCAGCTCAGCATCAAGGTCCTAGTTATAGATAATATTCTACTCCCATTGACCACAATTCTTGCCTGAGTTCCCAATCTTTTAGTACTTCAATCTTGTTACTAGATTCCTGAACTTGGAGTCACTTAAAAGTATGTGTGCCGTGGTTTTTACTCCTTGATGCTCAGGTTTATCTTCTTAATTCCATACCCACTGCTCACTCTGATTTTTCAGTCCTGGCTTCTTGCCCTGTCTCTGTCACCTAAGCATATGCCCTACAGTAAGTAACACAGAGACACTTCTAAAAGAATCAAATGTCTGTACA